AGAAGAATCAAAAATACGACGGAAATCATGAATTAATCATGTTCTTTTTCGATCAAAGTATGAACAAGAGATTTGACTGAGAGAAACCAGAACCATCGGACCAAATGGCTTAGACAACTACGAGAGACTTCAGTTAGAACAAAAATCATTTCACAGTTCACACACATCTAAAGGTCATCGTCCATTTTATAGCTATTGTGTAATATTGATTACCGTATTCGAAGTGAGAGAGAAAACAAAAACGATGGGGGTTTGATAAGGTTTTTGGACGGTCAAAAGTTGTTGAGAACAACAAAGGGTAGCCTCTTCGTAATCTCTACCCATAAATAAGCCGCGGCCATTTGAAAAAAATCTACGCTGATTTTCTACTCGGAACGGATACATGGCGCAGCCCAGGAATGGCTTTTTAGAGTACAAACGGTGATAAGCGGAAAATATGATAACTTCAGTGATAACGGTGGATGAGTTACGAAAGTATCAAGTAAAACGCAGTAAGACATAAACGCAGAAGTGTAAACAAGTTCTTTTTTAGTCAGGGAAACTGGGATAGCCAAAGTCCTGCCCTGACATCACCTGGGGAGGTATGCGACCCAAACATCAACTGTCGAATGGACTCGATATCATTTAGTGACCGAGGTTAAGGTTCGTCCTAAACTGTGACACGACAAGGGACTAGGAAGAGATGGATTCGGTATACTCTAGCGATACTCGTTGATATGGGAAATATCTATCCTCTGACAAATCCTAACCCTTTTCACTTATGAGGAAGAAATCCAAGAAAAAGGGAAAGGTTTCAAAACTTCCAATTCCTCCAGTATTCTGAACAGAGGCGAAAGCATGGCGTATACCGCTTTGTTCAAAAGCTTGCTTCACCCCATTTGCTTTAGAACAATTAATGCGGCCATAACATGCGCAAAGAAGGGGTGAGCAATTTTATTCCAAAACAAAGACATCAAACACAAAAAACAATAAATGAAATCGATAATATCGATAAATGCCCTACAATCGGATTAGATCACAGCCGCTTTTTATCCCTTGCTGCCTCTTCCTCATCTGTGGATTCATCACTGAATTCACTTTCCGTTTCCGAATTCTCTTCAGCTCCCGGTAGATTCTTATCGATCGCATGAAGGATACGTTCAGTCAGGCTACCGTATCGTTCAGACAAGCTCGTTTCTGAAATATCGGGTTGGAAAATCGTTTTCTAAACGATTACGGTAAAAAATACCTGGTTCTGTAGTGTCGAATAGTTCCACTTCCATGATCTGCTTTGAACCAAGGATTTTCATGCGTTTTAGTACTGTTCGTGATACCTTGAAAGGGTGATGGTTACCGTGACAGTAATGGTAACCTGTAATCTGAGGAAATCTAGTAAAACAAGAAAATGGCGTGAATTCCGCCATTCCGTCACGGTAATCCCATATTGTGAACCCGTGCGCGATACGCTCCGACAATATGTGACACATGGCAGTCCTGCAATGTCGTCGGCTGTGATGCATAAACAACCAACGCTTGGAATGACACAACGTGATTCCTTCTAGATTCTCTGAGCCAGTTTTCCCAGAGGAACTCTTTTTACTGTTGTGGGGTACGCCCCAGCAGGATTGGTGTAGGTCGATCACTTCGGTGAGGATTCTGATTTGGAAGGTACATAGACAGGGAGGAAAGAGCCCTTCCCATACCGTTTAGGGGCGATTGTCAGTATAATCTGCTTTTTATCTTCAAATTCAAATGGATCCCATCTCCTGATTTGACCTCTTTTCAAAGCTAATTGTTCAGATCAAACTGAAAAATGCTTCTACCCCATACCTATTAGAGTCAAAGGCCACACATTGCCAATATGTTTCTAAACTTCAAAAAGGTCTAGTTATTACTATCTAGGCAGTGGGGTGTATTGGCAAGTGGCGCACTATATCACACGCATGGTCAGGGGTTCGAACCCTGGAACGGTGCCGCCTAGGCCAACCAGGCCTTCCATTCTCAGGGGTCGCTTAATTGGTACGGGNCCGGTCCGATGCACCGCCTAGGCCAACCAAGAATTCCTTCCCTCCGGGGTCGATAAATTGGTAGCAGACTCGTCTGGGAGGATGAAAGCACTGACTTGTACATCGGCTGGCCACCGCAAGTCATTGTATAGGCCACATACGCACTCATTACGCCACTACGATTCTGAATGGAACTCGAATGCGTGGGCACATCCCAAGGATGGGATTGATCAGCGTCGGAAGACTTTATCATTGTAAATTCGCAATTCGCAGGTTACTCACATTCTATTCCCAGAGAAAAATACATCCAGGCAATCTAATTAATAAATCGCAACCCCTTTGTGTTGATGCCTTTCAGAGTGATCAGTCCCCCCTTTTCGCTTGTGTTTAATGGAGGAGGTATCGCTAAGATTCCAATGAGCATGTCAAAATCTGTTTAGGACCACTCACCCTATTAAAATGATTCTCTCCGTCATCAATAGATCCGAACCCGATGATAACAAATTTTAGCGCCTCGAAATTGGCTTTCTTCCTTTGTTTAGCGTCTGCCGCTACGTCTTCAAGCCAATCCAGAAACCATTCACATGATTGTAAGGCAGTCCCTCCGGTTAGGGTTTCAACGACGAATAGGCAGAAACCCTGAACAGAATCACCATGAAATCCTTCTCTAAATCAGCATAATGATTGTATTTCCGAATTCTCCAAGAAAAACCTTTATCCAAACTGTTTTACCTCGAAAAGTGGTACAAAAGGCTAAAAACCATAATAAGTTGGCTAACCTTGAAGGCAGCGAATTCTTTGGCTTTTAAATCAGCAACTGGCCATAATTTAGGAGGATTAATCAATTCGGCTTTTAATGCGGATTCCAAATGAGCAACAAATCTTTGGGCCGCACTATTTTCAGTACATGCGGAAATAATGGCCACTTCGGCGCGGGCGGCTTCTTCAGCAAGTCGTTGCTGTTCTTTTTTCTGAAGAAAACTTATTTAAGTCCTGCATGGACTTAGTATATCGAAACCCAGCAGAAAGAAAAATGAGATATAAAATAAAGAGTAAAAGTGCTCCGTTTCGACAGGAGACTGGGTTGGGTTGAAAAAAGTGAGAGAGAGATAAAAGATGAGTAGATGAAGATCAAAAGAAGCAAATGTTGAGTAACCAGATGACTAGGAAAAAGCATGAAAATTCGGAGAAGTAAAAGTACAAGTGACCTGACATAGAGAGATGGAACCTGAAAAGGTAAAACTTGATATTTCCTCGACAAAAAGAGAAAAGCAATGGGAAGATGAGTAAGGAAGATAAATTGAGAGTTGACCGAAGAAGATAGTACAAAGACCTCAGCATTAACCTAGCCTGTCTGAGGAATCAGGTAGGACCACAAGGGAGAATATGTGATCCACTTTTCAAATTGTTAGGTTAGTTGAGAAATATACTCAAACAATGATTCCAGACTACTTAACAGCCTAGCAATCAATAAGTTGTTATCTTCATTCAGTCCCTAACCATCTGTAAGCGACTATGCCGTTTTTTTCACCGTGAACTCAGTGATCCGAAAAATGAACACCAGGTATGGGATGGGCTTAGAAACCTCTATAGGGCTAGGTATGAATTGTATTAAAAGCCTCAAAACGGTTTTTTTGTTTTGATCTTCACTTTTCTAGCTATGAGGTACACGATCGCCCGTTGTGACCTACCGTCGATTCCGCCGGTCCCTCATTTTGGCACATCGACGTGCCGTCGTCTGTACCCTCTTCGTCTGCTATGCTCTTTGCTGGTTTCTGATTTTTTTGCCAGTCCCTCGATTTCGTTCGAGCGATTTCTTTTTTCTCCATCCCCCTCCCTCCCTCCTTCATCGATAAAAGAGATCAACAAAGCCAATATCACCCGATGATCTGGGTGAACACCAGATCAAAGGTAAACTGGTTTTGAAAATTAAGCCTCAATTGGTATATGTATCAATATATTTCTTTAAACTGGTTCCAACCATGTGATTCTCTTGAAGGATTGCCAATTCTGTGCGATCTTATTCCAGAGAGGATAATGCTTAGACTACGATGGGAGGCGCGCGATTCACGCGTGACCCCATTAAAGCTCTTCGCGCACGCAGCATCGTTTCAGTACCTTTCTGTTGAGATGGACCAAATNAATTCGCTGTAGTCCACGGCTTCACCACGAATATGTCAAACGTTCAAAATAGGAATAACTTCAAATTTTTTGATCCTAGTAAACGCAATCCTTCTGTAAACGTGCATAGTTGGTCATTTCCTTACTTATTCTACTTATAAGTTCTTATTACTTCCGTTATTATGCTAGGCATGATGTTTTAGCGCATTTTGACCGACGACCTCATTATATTGACGCGTGAATCGCACCACACCCGACTACGATCGTGTTGGGCAAGAAATGAAACATTTGGAAGCAACATTCTCGATCAGTAAGAGTCATGCATCCCTTTCAACTTGAAATAACGATCAATTGGGAGCCGCTTCTTCCGCCTTATCCACCCGTCCCCCAGACAAACTGATTAGCTTCTCATAGTTAAAATTACTGAAAAGAGAGAGAGGAAGAATGGAGCAACCTGTTAGGAAGAAAATGAGATAATGAATAGAGAGCGAGGACTTGATTGTGGGCATGAGATCGCTTCATCAATCAGCAGCAAATGGAAAAAAACATCAAGCTAAGTCAATCAATAAACATCAATTGTATTGATTCAAACTAACCTTGGCATAATTAACATAAATATTATGTACTTTATGGTAGATAATATATACAATGCCGGGTAGAAGTACACCGAGACTAGCCGTAAAATACAACAAGATTTCATCCTGAAAATAATATCCCAAGAAATCAATAAATCCCTGCGCAGAGTGACAAAAAATCGATAAAAAATTGGAGAAAATAGGAAAAATTGAGCCTGAAAAAGTGAAGAAAGCTCACCTTGTCCATCAATTCCTCGTACCATGTCTTAGGCGGTTTTGGCTTTACCTCGGGTCGCAGCGGAGGATGGAAAGACATTCAGAGGGTGTAGCGTGAGAGATGACGCAAGCAAACTCAAACTTAGGCTCTCTGAAACGCTTCTGAAGGGACAGAAACGTAAAACAAGGGGTATAGTAATGGCCGGCGATAATAATGATTTTAATGGGGCATGCTTTTGACTTTGGAATGAGTAGAATCCAATGGAGCAAATTGTTCCGATTTCCGCCTTCCGGAGTATTCCACGAGCAGCGGAAATCGGAACCCGGCCGACTCCACTCACACCAGAGCTTCGTAAACAGCTACTCACACTTGCCTCTTTCACGTCGATGAGGTACCACTCACTGCACAGCACTCCACAACAAAAATCCTTGCAAGAAACAACCTAAAATATCAATTTTGACGAATCCCCTTCATCAAGTGGATATTTACATTGGGAATCACCTGTATCGCTTCGCTGATTCCTTCTTAAGGGGGGACAACAGTATCAGCAACTGGAACGAATGAGGCCAAAATGGCTCACTCTCAACTCTGGGTGGCCAAAATCTGCTCCTAATCTCGCCGTCTATGAAACTGCCCTGTATACGATGAGCCACATGAATACCCAACACCCAGCCGTCGTCCCCTTTGAAATGTTTATTCACAGAATCGCGACGAACACGGACTTTTGAAACTGTTCCCGATGAATCCGACAGTTGTAGGACCTCCTCCCAAGGGGAGAAACTTGAGAGGAGGTCCTACAACAGAAGCCCTTCCTAGAGGTATGGGAAGAGACGGAGCCCGATTCCGAGGGAGACCACCCTATTGAATGCCTTTTTCCCCACCTTCCTGACCATTCCACTGAATTTTTAAAAGCAACGGGTCTTCCACGAAATGCCATTACACCCAGTCCTCAAAACTCAGGGGCTGTGACAATGCCAATGACAGCTGTTCGGGCAATGGCCCAGATAGAACACAGCCAAAGCACTTGGCTGAACGGAACAGTTATGAACCCCCTAGGAATCAGTAGCATCAGTTTTCAAATGCTCATTTCATGCGGAGTACGAACTACTTGCATAAGCCGATCTGTTATTACCAGCGAACTGAACCAAATGTCACACTTCAACACAAATTACGAGAAATCATGCTTTATTTGCACATGCGCACTACAACCGACTAACACCAATCACAACAATTATATTATGTGATTATACATACAGTACCCATGCAAAACAACATCTATCATATAAATAGCAAATCAGCAGATAAACAATAGAAAAGAATCCGACACAATCGGGCACTTCAACCCCACTTTGCCCCTAATTAGATTTCACCGAGAAAGTTACTTTATGCCGAGTTTAGTGTTTACTATTAGATTAATGTAAACAACAAACTAACAACAACTAGAAACTATTACCACCCGGAAATCAATGACTGATGAAAGAAGCTGATGACGTAGAAACAAACGTACACACACAAACATAGTGACCACGTACTTGTGAGAGATGGGAAATGTCTAAAGCTGAGGTTGATCACACGACCGCCGCGTCGGACAGTAAAAAGTATGAGCGGGAGGGGTCAAGGAAATAGTCCTGAGAAATGAGCAGCAACAGACGCGTGCGGTTGCGACGCGGTCTGGCAGCAAAACGTTGCTTTCTGTTCTCTCAGTAATTTTATCGGCAGATACCATTTAGCGCTTCCGAAAAAATGACCAGTTGTTCACTTTCTCAGGATTATTTCCTCGAACACTTTTTCACTAGCGGTACTTCTACAAGTAACGGGAGTGTCTAAGACTGCTGAGATTTCACATCTGGGTCGGAATAGAATAAATTACTTCGCTGTTCTCCACTTTCATAGAAAATCCAGAAAATTATTAATAAATACAATTATTAAGTGAATAGGATTCGATAATTAGGATTGGTGTTGCACAGCAACTGAAATGGCAGCCCAATAACGTACCGATCCTTCAAATAATGGGATATTTTCAAGCTAGCCCAGAGCAGTAGGAATGAGAGAGTGATAATACGTGGTAGAAAAAGTGTGAGTTGAAAGCAATCAATAGAAATCGATCGGCTACCGATCAATACATATAACGGCTACTTCTGAGATCCCAGCAATATCAGAGAAAATATTTTTAAAAAAACTTAGCTAAACCATGTTTAGTAAGTATGGCCGAGCACATTGGAATAGATCGAGGTCCGGATCGAGTGATCTGCCAAAGCCCTCAAGTACCATCACTGATAAAACAACACTGGTAAACGATGAGTCGAGGTAGACGCGATGAGCAGCTACTAGGGAGAACATTTCGGATAATAGTGCCGAGATGTTTAGCTGAAAAACAAAACGGACTTGACGACTTCTCGAGAACCCAGTTTCTCCCAAAAAAAAAATACTCAAATCAAAAATATATATGGAGCGGGTAATCTATACACGATAGTGGCAAGAAAATGAGAAAAAAAGGTTGTCAGAGATAAAGGAAGTAAATGATAAGGCTGTAGAGAAAATGGCCATTGATGAAAGCGGCAATGGCAAAGACTAGTGCTTGGAAAAAACAAACAAGCGAAGGTGTGAGCCCGACAGCTAAAAAGAGGTTATTGGTAAGGCTATAGCGAGTACGATGAAAGGAAATACGAAATGGAGATCGAGAGAGAATTTAAAGAAAAGCGTAGGGCAAAGAAAAACAGAAAGTTCAACAGAGAAGGGAGTGACAAAGTGATCCTGAAAGAGGAAATTCAGTGAAAAAGGGGAAGCATTCAAAATTGCTAAGTATAAGAGGTAAGAAGCTACTGCACAAATAATGGAGGGATCGATCGGTGCTGACACATTGGGAGCCTCATCACGAATTACAGCATGGAGCCAAAAAAAAAAAACACTTCACAAAGGAGACCTTGTAGACAAAAGTTGTAATATGAACTAAAAAAAAAAGAATTAAAAAATACAGAAAGAGAAAGGAGCGATGGAAGCGAACAACTTACCGATCTCAGCGATCGCTCTTTCATTGCTTTTGCTACAAGTCGATCAACTTGTAAACAAAACTCATGTGGATCTCGACAATTACGGCTATTCTCGGCATGACTGAGAAGTAATTCACCGGCTTTGTAACCCTAAACCAATAGATAGATTTTAAGAATAAATATAGTGGAGCAGTTCAGTTGCAGCAGCCACAAGAAACATTTCTTGCATGAAAAACTGACCTGTTTCTGTAATATGGCTCGGAAAAGCGCTTTTAGGTTCCGTAGGTTCTTCTCCGTTTCGGACACAACAATTCCAGTGTCAAGCATCACAAGTGTCGGCTCATCGGCAAGCTCTGGAGAATCCGTAAATCGAACTCGTGGCGTCGTTCGCCATCCCAACCAATTACGTATTTGCTCCAACTGAAAGTGTCCTTCGCCAACTGGGAGCTACTATCCTTCTGGGAAACTTTCAAAGCTTTTAGAGTAACGAATAACTGAACCAACCAATTGCTCGAATATTGTCTCCTTTGGCGGCGCATTGTGTACTCCAGGCAAACCTTGATCATCTTCGTTGAAACTGAAATCGACAAATTTTATCCGGAATGTGCTGAGCACATTTCTACAATTTTTTTAATTCGGCTGATTTTTAGTTGATTTTTTAAATTTCATTTCCCGTTTTTAATTTTGAAATTTAATTTAAATTGATTTTTCATTTGAATTTTTTATTCTTTACCAAATCAATAATTCTTTAAATTATTAATCAAATTTTTTAAGAAGTCAGAGAACAATATTAATCAAATTTTTTAAAAAGCCAAAAAACAATCACCGTATCAAAATATTTCCGGGATGCAGATCACCGTGAACAAAATTATCCACAAATATCATTTTGAGGAGAGCTCTGGCACCTAGCAGCGCGATTCGTCGGCGTACCTTAGGTGATTGGCGAGTTGCCAGCTGCAAAAGAATACCTTTCCAAAAAGATTCCTAACAGAATTCTGATTTTAAATCTAATAACAAATTGATAGCTATCACCTGTGGGTCATTATCCTCAGCAACGAGGCGGTTAATATACATGCCATGTTCGAATGTCTCTACTATGATATTTTTCGTGTAACCAATCACAGTCGGAAATTTGACTCCGGTCTTTTTGTGATCGAAATTCTCAGAGAACCTCTGAAATAATGGAAATCCTGTTTGCAAAAAAACTTTCAACACCAACGGCATGACTCGCAGCTTCAAGCACTCACTTGTAATGCGCGCGCTTCATTTCTAAGATCCACCTGCCGGCGTAAAACCATTTCAAACTGCGCCAGTGCCGATAGTGGCTCCAAATAGCTCAGAGAAGGCATCAACTAAAATTTAATGGTTCAAAAGAAAAAAAAAACACAACCATTGAGGTTGCTTATTCTTATGCTTGCTTTGAAAAATACCCTGAAGGAACTTTACTTTTTCCTGGGACACTTATTAAAGAGGTGGTGGAGTCTAGAGGTATCCCAGAAAAAAGAGGTGCACCAGAAAAAGGGAATGTAAAAGGTGAAAGCAAACAAGTAATTCGAGAGAGAGATACGAAAAAGGCTAAAGGAGCACCGAAATCAATGCCTACAAGACCAAAAATTTCAGAAAACTATGACGTGCTTTCAATTTCTGGTAAATGTAGTTCAAAGTATAACGAAAAAACAAATGGTTAACATGTAAGCAAATAATTCATAGAAAAGTAGGAAAGAGAATTAAATACTGAAAGGTAAACAGTTAATGAACGAAATAAGTAAATAATAAGCAGGAAAACACTGATTAAAGAAATTTGAAAGTGTAAAAAAAACGTGATGTACCTTGAGCACTAAACTTGTTGCATTCCTCAAAATTGACAAATCCAAATTAATTTGCTCTTCCACACCATGTTCTGCCACCTAAAAAACACCTTTGGATAAACTTGTGGTATGAAAAATCGCTTTTCAAGCACATTCAAAATCGAAATCTATCTATAACAGTTGAAATTCGGTGACTAGCTTTCCCTCCAGAAAAAAGAAACAAATTTGCACTTATTATTTATTTCATTTAACGAAAATTGCACCTTAATAGCAACTTCTCGTTCCACATAACCATTGAATTGAGGGAATTTCTTTCCAACAGCTCGTTCCAACGCATCAACATTCACAGTCCCCTTATAAACCTGCAAATAAGGAAGAACAATGACGAGAACCAGTGTTTTTCGGCCAGATCCAGCCAATATTGTGTCAACAAGGGGCCGGCTTTAACACTGCACAAGAACATTAGACCTATTCGAGGCCAGCTACTCGATTACAATCGAGTCAGTCATTGATCACGTCACACAAAAAATCAATGCAACCTTGCCATCAAAGCAAGTGACTATGTGTTCAACGATCAATGGGAAGTTTTAAATAGTTTCTCATCCGAGAAAAAGTTCTACAAAAAGGTGCGTCTAGTAAACCGCAAATTCAATGATTAGAATAAAGCAAAGCATCGAAAAAGAACTTGGAAAAGAAAAAATGATAGAAACCTGAGCAATACAGCCCGATCCGATTGAATAGGGCTCTATTCGCACGAACACTTCATCCTTATGGTTTTTTACGAATCCTTCTCCGAATACCTCATCCAGTACTTTGTCACAATCGCGGAAATAGCGCTGCCGTCTCGTCTTCGTGTGCAAAATGGACATCTGGGAAGAAATTTCATTAAGTAATATCGAATCAAAAACAACAAAAGAAAAAAAA